GTACTGTATTGCATGGCACAGTACTGCATAGTATGCTAGGCCCTGGGCTGTAGCTGTGATGGACAAGGCTTTTAAGAAACAGAGATATAAGTGGCATAAATACAGACTGTCTAAAGGCACAAAGGAAGTGAGGAAGTAAAAACAGCAGCACAATCCAGACATACTGAAGTGTTTCTCTGTGAAGGTGACAGTTAAGCTGAAATCAATTAAATGAGTGACCAGCAGGGGAGATGGTGTCCAGAAGAAATAAAAGTTTCTAAAAGCTAGAACGGAGGCTGGAGTGTTGGAGAACATGAACGAGGGTCTTGGTTAGGCTGGAGTTAGGGCTCACATTGCTCTAGTGAGCAGAGGAAGGCAGGGCCCCATCTCCTGCATATCTGCCTGCATGTGGGAGTAAGGCCTGCTCGGCCCCAGGGCAGCAGTCATCACACATGTTAGCTACATGGAGATGGTTCTAGCAAGGGGAGAAACATCTTTAAAAGAGTAGCCAAAGCAGAAGCAAGCATGAATACACAGGAGAGCAAAGTCCTGATTGGAGGATGGGCTAGGGGACCTCTGGCTATCTGTACCCAGGCATCCTTGTATTGTGTTAGCTTGGCTGGAGGAAGGGCGGTCTCATTTCCAGAAAGAGTTTAGTGCTAAAGCACTGTGCCACACTGGGCCTCGAGCTTCCTTGCTGGGGATGCCTCCCCAGTGCCCAGCTTCTGGGGTGCCTTGCTCACTCACAGAAGCCACAACAGCAAGCACCCCAGCCTGGAAGTACAGCCCAGTGTCCAGGCACAAGACAGCTCCACGAGCACCACGCTGAGCAGCTCAGATTTGCAACTTTGAGAGATTTGCTGTCAATAACAATACACTTTTAAGAATAAAGCTTTAATTTCAGAGACACTAAGACGTGGTTTGGCTGGTTAGAAATACCAAGAAATGTCAAAGACTAGTCAAGAATACCCATGGGTATTCCCTTGGATTTCTGGAAATATTGACAAAGCTGTCTGAAGGCTATTCTTATATTTAACCAAGTGAAAGTTTGGAATCCCTGTACATGTTGTCCATTAGTGGTTAAGGGTGGTCACTGCTGAGACAGTTTTATACAATCTGTATGTTCATATATGAATGGAAAACCACTGGATAGATACAAGCTATCAGGCCATCTAATCACCTGTTGAGGATAAGTGATTCCCACTTCCAGTTTTCTTATGGAACTTCTCAAATGTGATCATAGAGAGAAGAGACTGATAGTTAGAAAACTGACCAGAAGAAGCACGGGAGCAGAATGTTCAAAGCTATGTCTGAGATCTAGATGAAGGACAATGGGTACTACTTTACCTCAGATAGAAACTCCCAACCCTCCACCCAACTCCTACACACTTTCTGGAAACCAAATCTAGAGTGCATCTGCTGTGTAAGTGCTGGATATTTCCACTGCTCTTGCTTCGCACATTACCCTTGGTCTTCAGCTGCCCATGGGTTGGCTTTACCTCATGAACCAGAACATATAGACAATTATTAGATGAGATTATTAGGTTTCTGAGAGCTGAAGTCTGCTTATCTCCCCTTAGGATCAAGAAGTGATCACTGAATATATGGATTTATTTTTTGAATTAAAAAAAATCGTTCATTGGCCAGCCAAATAGCTCAGCAGATTAATGCGCCTGCAAGCGGATACAGTGGCTGGGGGTTTGAACCCCAGGCCTGCCATGCTGGCCTCACCCCTGGGGTGCACTGAGATGGCACTTGAGACTGGGCATGGTGGCTCGAGCTTGAAATCCCAGCACTCAGGAGGCTGTAAACAGGGGTATCACTATGAGCCTGATCTAGTAGTGAGACCCTGAACACTGTGTAGACGCTTACCTTAAATGCAAAATAAATAAATAAATAATCATTTGGGACAGAGTGTCACTCAGAAGTGATAACTGCCTACACCTCCCCAGTGCTGAGATTACAGGTATGCAGCACCATGGCTGGTTTTGGTGGTCAGCACGGTATGTGGTACCAGGGATCGAACCTGGGTCCTCATGATGGCCAGGCAGGTGCTTAGACCTCTAAGCTACCTCCCCAGCCCTGGATTTATTTTACATTCCACACTGTACTACAATCCCTTTCATTATCTTTGCTTTTTTTAAACTTTCTCAAATACTAAATGAAATAGGAAATCAAACAAGTATTACTATCCTCATCTAGTAGGTGAATAAAGTTCACCACGGCTTAATCCTCCAAGGATAATAGGCACACTCGAAACTCACTATTATCAAATTGCAGACCCAGAACTTGAATTTAAGTAGAATTCTGGATTTCTGTAGGGTCTGGGCACTTGTGGTCAATGGAGATGACCACCATAGTACATCTAGGATCAGTCTGAGATGCTCATCACGAAGACTAGCCAAAGATATTTACATTTATTCCTGGCTTTTCTTTTTTCTGCCCTTTCCAAAACAGAACTCCACACTGACCACTATGCATGCTATGAGAAAGACAGCTAGATATTGGACAGGATATCACGGCTGCATCTTGTGCCATGAAAAATCACTAAGAAGACAACAATATGCAATGTATTAATGATTGAAACTGTCCTACTATTCGGTTTTGAAACTGTCTCATTGTTATTTGTTTCTCAGTAAAATTAATTTTAAAAAAGAATGTATTAATTTAGGGTCTTCAAAAGCCACAAATGGAGAGCAGGATGTGTCATTGCTCTCCCAGGAGCTTACAGTCCAAACTTGTCCTTGTTTGGAAATTTCATAAACTAACCTAGCCCAATCAATGACAGGCCATCCGGAAGGAAGTAACAGTTTGAGGTAGCCACACCATCTCAAAGTCTGCTTTCTCCTCTGAATTTAGCCAGTCCTCAATTGGCCTGAATGAATAGATGGACAACCACTTCTTATATTTCATTATTACCTCCATGTGATAATTAATTTTACATATTAGCTTGACTGGGCTATAGGCTGCCAAGATGTTTAATTACGCATTGTTCTGGCTGTGAGAAGACACACTGAATATAGCAGATTGCCCACTAAGATGTGGGAATGTGTGTCAGGGGTGTTGTCTGACCCACTTCAGGCTAAATAAGATAAAAAGAATAAGTAAGGCAGAGCAGTCTCTCCCTCCAATTCTAATACCTACAAGCCGGAACCCTGGTCTTTGCTTGTCTTCAGACTCTGATTTGGACTTGAATATATGCCATAGCCTCTTTTATTTCTCAGACCTCCCAACTCAGACTGGACCAGTACCACTGGCTCATTTGGGTCTTCAGCCTGTGGGCCACAGGTCTCAGAAGTTCTACACATACCTGTATGAGCCATATTCATTTATCTTTCTCTCTAGTCTATGGACCCCTCCCAGCTCCTCTCATTAGCCCCAGGATGTCTGGACTATGCCGTGTCTGGACTTGACAGTGTTTTACCCCAAAGCAAAGCAGAGAATGCCATGGAGACGGGCTAAAGCCTGCCCTGCCACTCGGGTCTTTATATTTTTGAGCTTTTCAGTGGGGGTGGAATGTATATTTAGAGTCTAATTGGACAACAGTTTTTCTCTTTTTCAGTGGGTACTTGCCTGTGCTTGAAGCAATGAGAAGCCAGGTCATTGCCAGGCTTGTGTGATTTATTTAAAGGAAAGTGGAAGAAAGGAAAGAGGCTGAGTCTTATAAGGTGTGATTTAATTTTAAAAATGCTTATGCTGCTTTTTACAGGAATATCCATTTGACTGGGTTTCTTTCCCGCTGACAAAAGAGGCAATTTCTGCACATAAAATGAATCTGATTAAAACTCTTTCTGTGTGTCTGTCAAGGTAGAGGATGTGCACCCCAGGAAAAGAGCACATTTGAATTCCTGGGGCATGGAAAGGATTGTTTATGTGGCTGCAGGTCCCGAGACCCACAGAAAGCTTTAGTACTGCCCTGTGAAAGTAAAGGGAGTGGGAAGCTTTTCCTTGGGCATAAAAAGTTTATTTTATTTCTTAGTCTCATTCACAGTGGTTTGCTATTACTTTCTAATTTTCCCAGCATTTTGGTGGCAGCCAAAGATGAAGAAATAATATCTCTTGCTTACAGAGCACGGCTCTGATTCATTTTGTTTAGTTCAAGTCACCTCCTATAATAAAAGCAGCAGCTGCTAGACCTTGCACAGAGGTCTCACAAGGTCCTCGAAGCGAGTCTTTAATTGGAAAGGCAGAGCAATTTCAAACCTTTCTGTTCCCTTTATCCTCGCAGGATCTTCAGAATGAAGCAAACAGCCAAAAGATCATACGTGCCTGATGCTGGCAAGGAGTGCCCTTCTCTACCACATTGGCATCCGTAGAAAGGAGAGGGTACCTTCAGTTATGAAGAACAAAAAACACTGAGTTTTCACCCTGACATAGTTCTAGCCCCCCCCCTCGCAACACACACACACACACACACACACACACACACACACACACACAGTATCTAAGGGTTACTCTGTAGTTCTTTAGCATCTGTGTCAGAAGAGGATGGACCTGCTCTCTAAGAGCTTCAGAGTTGACAGTAAAGGTTATTCTTATTGCTTTGTGAGGGAAGAGGTCAGGGTGGCTGATGGTGATCCTCGTGCATATGGAGCTAGGCCTCTTTGAAGGTACCCCTAGGCCAACACGAAGGTTGGCCACCAGGATCCGGAGACTTGTGTTCAAGTTGTGTTCATTCACTGGGTGTCTGTGTTCCAGGTAGCACGGGCTTCCCCTATCACAGGGGCTGTTTTTTCTAGGTAGCTGTCTGGACAGCAGGTAGGAATGGCACCATAAAAATCTCTTAATTAGGTTCAGTGATTATGACTTTGCAAGATAAGAGGTTAGAAGTAGCTAATGAGAACTACGGGTCCCTTTTGGGGATGCTGACTGATGAAATGATAGGGAGGAGAATAGTAAGAGTAGCAACAAAAGCTGCACTCTCAGCTTCTTGCATACTCTCTGGCCCTTTATAGATGGTTAGTTAATTATTGCAGAACTGAATGACCTGAACTGATGGCCTTGGCCCATAACCCATAAACATGGCCTGTGACAATGACGAGGATGGTGTGAGATTGTGGTGGATTTTGTCTTGCTGAGTGGGGCTCTGCACAGACTTGAGCTATACTGTGATGTGGCCTGCCTTCCTTCTTGCCTTGCTCATTTTTTTTGTTTCTTCCCCAGCAGGCTGTTGTTGGCTCATTGATTTCCACTGCTCATCAAGCTCCATTAGCCCACTCATTAGCGATGGCTTCAATCCTCTCCCCACACTCTGTGTCCTGATTGATATCTCTCTGTTAGTGCCGCACTTAGCCCTGGCGTGATTGCCAGGTGTCTGTGCAACGCGGCCTTGCTGTGCCCTTCTGTCGCATAGGAGACAGCGCTTCTGATTACAAAGAACAGAGAACACTGAGTTGTCACACCGATATAGTTCTACCCCCAACACACACATACACACCCAGAGACAAAATTTCAAACTTACTTGTTTAGATGAAGGCACTGTCCTAGCCCCAACCCTGCGCTTGCTCCTAAATTCATTTTCCCACTGGAACCATACTGCACCCATCAGCCAAACAAAAGTCCAGATCTCTAGCTTTGCTGTTCCGGATGTCTGACCTGGGGCCAAGATCAGCCATGCTTCCTTAGAAACAGCTCTGGGATACTCAGCTTCTTCTTCTCCCTTATGTTACTCCAGTAGAATTACCTGTTGTCATTCACTTGGACTAAGCCCAGCTTCTGTCCTGAGCTCTGGAGATCTCCATCTTCTTCCCAATTCCTGTTTCCCAACTCATAGCAGGGATGCAGAGTGCCCAAGAAGAGGGTAAGAAAAGACAGCCTATTTGCATGTAGAAGACCCTAACCCTAACTCTAACCCTAACCCTAACCCTAACCCTAACCCTAACCCTAACCCTAGATCAAGATCACACTTACTAAAAACATTTTGAACACTTACTGTGTGCCAGCCACTGATAGATAGAGTAGATAATTTTACATTTGCTTGGCTAATTTTCGCAAAGACTCAAAGGTAAGAGACCTGAGTGAAAAGATTTTAAGTGATGCATAAAATAACATAAGAGGAAGTGGTACAATTCATAATAGTTAAACTCAGTAAATATCCTAAATGCTCATCAACAGATGAATTGATAAAGAGAATCTGATACATACACACAATGGAGTATTACTCAGCCATACAGAAGCATAAAATCACGTCATTTGTCATTTGCAGGAAAATGGATAGAACTAGAAAATAGTATGTTCAATGAAATTAGCCAGACTCATAAAAGAAAATAATTCATTTTTATCTTATATGAGAAACATAAAATGCATGCATACATACAAACATACATAAAATAAAATAAAGGAGAGAAGACAAAAAACCAGGAGACAGACTTCTTGAGATGCAGGCGGGACCAAATGGAAAGGGGAGGAAGGGAAGAGGAGAGTAATAAGGTTGAAATGATCAAGAAATGTTAAATGCATGTAAAGATCCCACAGTACAACGCATCTTCATGGAATATTAGCAGGCACTACTAAAATATGCAAGAGAGGAAGTGGCAGAGCTAAGACTCAAGTCAGCTTCATGTCACTTGCAAGTCTAGGTAATTGTCATCACACCATTCGTCCTTTCTAGATGCACTAGGCTGGAGGTGAGTATTAAAATGCCAAGGTTTATTCCTGGATGCAACCCCAGAGTTCTGATTCAGTAGATCTGAGATGAGGCCTGAGAATTTGAGCATGTGCATGTCCAGCAGCTCTCAGCTGTCCACTACAGAGGTCCAGGGACACACCTGGAGAACCTCGGCTCCGGGCGACATTCATGTGGGGCACCTTCTCCTCAGGCACAGTGCAAGTCCCTCAAGCCTCCTTCTGACTTAAAGGCAAGATCTTTTTGAGTCTGGGTCAAACCACTAATGAGAGACTGGCTTTGCCACTCGCTGGCTTCGTCTGTGGCCTCTGCCACTGACCCACACTCCACCTTAGTCTCCTCTTCTAAACATGGGAATAGAATCCACCTGGCAGGGATGCTTGAGGATTGGGAATCATGAATAAAAAACAGCAATCTGATCAGAGTAGAACTCAATAAAAATTAGCTGTTTTCAAAGTATAAATGTCTGAAATTCACTTTTATTTCACGTTTGTTTGTTTGAGTCTGCCCTTCTTGTCGTCCTTCTTTGTTTTGTGGTACCAGTGATCGAACTCAGGACCTTGTGCTTGCCAGGCAGGCACTTACACAACTGAACTATCTCCCTGACCCTTTTGCCTTCTTTCTTATTGCTTTGGGCACCTTGCACCTTGAAATTTTGTTCTGCACACCTCACAGCTTGCTGCTTCTCCCCACGCTGGCTTCAACTGCAGTATTCCAGCTCAGAGGCCTTTCGAAGCCAGCTAAGGGTGTATGGCCTCCACCCCCAAGCAATTTTGCATTGCTTATTGGATGGGTAGGTTTTAAAATACTGACCCAATTTCTGAAACAATTTTAGAGCTTTTCAAGCTTTCTATTTCTTCTACACTCAGCTTTAAAAGTTATAATTTTAAGGGAAATTGTCTATTCTATTCCAATTGTCACATTTATTGGCATCAAAAACTATGTCCAAGCTTTGGAAGAGTTTCAGGCCTGCCTGACCCTGCAGGAGCAGTACTTGGAAGCACATGACGGTCTCCTTGCAGAGACTCATTATCAGCTGGGCTTGGCCTACGGATACAACTCTCAGTATGACGAGGCAGTGGCACAGTTCAGCAAATCTATTGAAGTCATTGAGAAGAGGATGGCTGTACTAAAGGAACAGATGAAGGAGGCTGAAGGATCACCTACTGAATATGAGAAAGAAATTGAGGAATTGAAGGAACTGCTACCTGAAATCAGAGAGAAGATAGAAGATGGAAAAGAGTCCCAGCATAGTGGGAATGTAGCTGAATTGGCACTAAAAGCTACTCTGGTGGAGAGTTCTACTTCGGGTTTTACTTCTAGTGGAGGAGGTTCTTCAGTATCTATGATTGCCAGTAGAAGAACAGATGGTGCTTCCTCATCAAATTGTGTGATTGATATTTCCCACCTTGTGAGAAAGAAGAGGAAACCAGAGGACGAGAGTCCCCGGAAAGATGATGCAAAGAAAGCCAAACAAGAGCCGGAAGTCAATGGAGGCAGCGGGGATGCAGTCCCCAGTGGAAATGAAGTGTCAGAAAGCATGGAGGAGGAGGCTGAGAAACAAGCCGGCAGCTGCGCTGCAGCGGAGGGCACAATGGAGGCGGGAGCTGCTGTCGAGACCACTGCATGTTGAGAGGGAATAGAGCCTTCCTCCCAGGGGAAAAGTGTTTTTGTATATAATGTATTTTTTCACTTTTAGGGATTCTTTTTGTATAACTTCAATAAAGATGGTAAAAAGGTAAAAAAAAAAATCTCATACTATGACAACATCATCTTAATACCTACCCTGTTAATTTTCATACCTCTCATTTTCTCACAATTTTTATCTTTCCTTTTCTGTTGATTTTCTTTCTGAGGATTTTCTACCTGATTAGTCCTTTAAAAAAACCTACTCTCTGGTAGCTTTGAAGCTGTCATATCATTGTCTTCACTCATTTCTGTGTTTTTCTTTTATTCCCGTCTTCCACCGTTTTTTCTATCCTTTCTAACTTCTTAGATACTTAAATTTTTAATTATCAGTAAGCATTTCAAGCCCTTCATATGCCTTTAATAGCAGTAATGGCACTAATGCCTTGTATATCTTTCAGTATGTTTGAGCAGTTTCAGCAACTGAAACCTACAGCAATTCAGAAGGCCTCGGCTCAGACTCTATAAAGATTTTCTTTGGCTTTGGCCAGGTGCGGGGCTTCTGTCAAGCAGAGACAGCTCTGAGCTAATGTCTCAGGTTAGGGTTTCCCAGCTCACGTAAGTGGCATAAATTTAAACCTCAAACCCACACGAGGAAGGGCAGTGGCACTGAATTCTCAAGAGACTTCAGCTTTTTTCTTCCTTCTGGATTTAAAAAAAAATCAAGAAGAAAATATTTTCTCATCATATCCCTTAGGGAGTGGGTAGAATTTTCCAGGCTGCTTTTCCATGGAGGGAATCCTGAATTTATAAGATTTTTTCTGACCTTATGGTGGTCTTCCTAGCATTGGGTTCTGTCTTTGCCTCTTTTGCCTCAAATTGCCATTAAAATTCCATCTGGGAAGATGGTCCCAGGGGAATTCAGGGCTTTTTTTTTTTTTTTCCCTCTCTTACTAATTTGACTATACATTGAAAAAATAAAACCAAAAGAGTCACGCCAGCCTGGTGGCAGACAACTATAATCTCAGCACTCTGGGAGGCTGAGGCAGGAAAGCAGGTTTGAGACCAGCCTGAGAAACATGACTTAGTGAGACTCTGTATCAAAATGCAAAAATAAATAAAATAAAAAGAATTGGTGGGTAGACTCAACTTGAAGGCTCTGGCTCAACTCCCAGCACTGAAAAAATAAATAACCAATTCTCTATTATATCCAAACTGCTTTTGAGGGCACAAAAGAAACTGTTTTATGTGCCGGCCAGATAGATCAGTGGACTAAAGCATCTTCTTAGGCAGACTCAGTGACTCAGGTTCAATCCCCTGCCTGCAGGGCATACTGAGAAGGTGATTGAGACTGGATGTGGTGGTGCCCACCTGTAATCCCAGCTTTTGGGAGGCTGAAATGCAGGAGGTTCATTATGAGTCCAATCTGTGTAGTGAGACGCTGGAGACCCTGTATTAAAAATACAGACAGACAGACAGACAGACAGACACAGACAGACAGACAGAGAAAGAGTTTCGTAATCTTCTCTTTGACTCACCAATTCCTGAAAGCATTTTTATACGCATTCTGATCCTTGTCTCCCAATTATTGGGACTGTATTTCATTACTTGGTAAACCTTAAATGTCTGGAACAATTGTTGGCACTCAAAATTCATTGATTAACTGAGAAATTGGGGAGAATTCATGTAGTGGATTATATGTATAAACTATCTAAACTACTGTGTTTGTAGTCATTAATGCAAGTATGAAACATATTTCTGAGATAGTAAGGTAGAATACTGGGTTATTAAACAGTATGTGGGGCCCAAGAGATAGCTTAGTAGTCTAAGTGTCTGCCTGGCAAGCTCAAGGACCCAGGTTCGATTCCCGGTACCATGTTGGGAAGATGCCATGCTGGCTCTACACCAAGCCGGCCTCCAAAACTGGGTGCAAGGGAGGCTGATACAGGCAGATCACTATGAGTTGGAGCTGCATAGTGGGACCTTGTACCAAATAAATTAAAAAAAAAAAAAAAAATATATAT